CTAGACACTAGAGCTCAGTAAGTCTGGTTTCAAATTGCCATGTGGGACATACAGTGATATTTTTGTAATTGTTTCCTATTATTTCAATACTGAAATGACATTTCAGTTCTTATTTTGAAGTTCCCATTTTGTCCTTTTATCTCCAGCATCACGAATCACTTCTCTGAAGAACATATTTACAAGTAAACTGAGATACCAAAAACATTCTGCGAAATTCATTCTCAGGCTGAAGATCTTGTACTGTTATTTGTCCAAAAAGCAATATTTTAAAGGTAGACGCTTAATGATACAGCATCTCTCCTGTCTGCTAGATTTATGTCACACTTTGACTGTTCTTGATTTTATTACCAAAAAAACCCCAAAGCAGCCTTTGCTGTTGTTGTACCCAAGATCTAGGTCTCTTCTGCTTCTACGTGATTTTTTCCCCTCATTACACACCTATTGGATCTTTCACTCCATTTAAGGAGCACTGCATTCACTAACCCTGCAAAATATCCCTAAAGGATTATTGATATCTTCGAGAAATATGTTATGTGAGTCCATTTATCAAGTGTGAACTTCATTTTACAGCCTGGAGGACAGTGACCAGTGTCACCAGACACTTTGCTTCCCATCACTCATACTCATCTCCCCAATGGTAGATGTGCACTGTTCAAAAATTCATTGACAATTGAGTTACTCTGCCTGCAATCTTTACGTTCAAATGTAACGTGGATCAACATTGTTGGAAATCAACTGTAAAGACAAATGGATGTGTGCACACACAGAGCAACAACAAATCCCTGGAGTACTACGATAACATCAAGTATAGGGTGTTTGGATTAACATATGTTAAAAAGCAAGTATTATATACAGTTTAACAAATACAATATAATTTCATTCCATTGGTACAGAACTTGCCAATTTATTATATACAAACAGAAAACTTGAGGGGAAAGTCATCAGTTCTGATGTTTTCTTTCTGGAGCAACACAAAAGACAACAGATATTTGCTTTTAGCATCAATGGAAAGCTGTTTTTTTTGTCCTTTCTTTTCTTTAGACGTCTTTTCCTCCCCTTTCTAAATCAGATGCCTTATAAATTTATTTTATCCTTGACTCTCAATTTATTGTAGACAATCCAAGCCTTGCTCCAAACACAGAAATACTTTTTATGGCTCTGTGGTGCATGAATAGTAAACAACTTTATATTTACAAAGCTGTTACACCTACCCTCACAGCACTGTAAAGAATTACTCATCTATCTTCACCACAGTTTTCATCAAGCACAGATTTCCTGGTCCTTCTCATTTGATTTCTTTGCTGTCAGTAATTTTACTGTCTTTTTATCCACCTCCCCAGTGCACTCCAGTTTGATGGGTAGGTCCTGTCACTGGTACCCAGCGTGACGGCCATGGGCAAAGAACAGAGGCACTGGATGACTCAAGCCCAAAACACTGAGGCTGAGACCTTATCAGACCAAAAATTACCATTTCCTGAGTAAAAACGGAATATTTTCAGAATTCCCAGTAAGTTCTTCACAAATTTCTTCTCTGTGTAACTTGAATAAATTTGGGCACGTGTCGCGAGGGTAGGTAAAATCCCACTTGGGATGCAGTGTACTGCATCCTTAGTTGCAGTAAGAACCCAGAAATATTTAATGAGCATAAAATATATACCAAATTTTACTAATAAATTACTAATAAGCCCAGGAATATCTGGATTTAAACGATCTAAAATTAAAGCAGGAAGATTTCAGTTAAAGGACAAAACCCGAGGCATTAAACACGTACTTTTGTAATCAATCCACTTCAAACACTACTTCAAAGCAGCACATCTAATAAGAAACAGATTCATGAACTCTCCTCATTTCTACATAGATTATCTCCAAGAAGCAATAAATGAGAACTCTTTCCAAAACTTTGCTGCTCATAACTCACAGGTGACTTTATACCACAAGTCACCATTGTATAGAGTATGACAATTAACATGACATCTATTTAAATATAATAGCTGGAGTGCTCAAAATAGGTAGAATAGGTAATGATATTACATTTTGATTGAGAAAGTATTCAGGTTATTTACACTGCAGTTATTTGAAGCCTTAAGGCACAGAAAGCTAATTCCGAAATCTGAAATCATGAAGGCTGAGAAGTGTTAAATATTATGGGAAAAACGGTAAACTTATTTTTAATAGAGAAGAATTATCTTGTCATGCAGTGCAAGGTTTAGTATGCCCTTCATAGCAAATACAAATCGATCTCAATCAATATGACTGATACTGTAAAGTAAATATACTGTAAAATTATTTCCACTAGAAAATAGAAAATATATTTTCAACAAAAAACATAAACCTCCCTTCCCTTGCTGAAGTAATACATTGCCAGCATGAAAATCTAACTTTTTTTCTTCACCATCTTTTTATCCATGAAATAATTTCACTAGTCTGGCATTTTTCCTTGCTTTCTTGCTTGTAAAACATAAGGGTAAACTCCCAATCATCCCACCATCACAGCTATAAATTGTGGCTCTCCCTGGAGTTTAGGGAATGTCATCGCTGTTGCAAAATTAGGTGTGAATAAATCTCATTAAACAGCTAAGCAGTGAGGCAAAACAGGAAATATGGTTAGAAAGTAGATAAAACAAGAGTTTCAGTCTTTGTATCTTCAGTAAGAAGAGAAATTTCAACTTAGTTTCTTAAAATTAGAAAGAAAAAATGCTCAAAAAAGGCTGGTTTTCCATGCATAACTGTGAACAGAACATGACTCTATGGACACACATCCCACATACCCATTCATGATGCCCACAACATCCCGTGAAGTGGAAAAGACTTTACCTGAGGAGAAAAATGATGAACCAATATTCTCAGAGAGAAGCAGGGGGGAAATATCAGATGTCTCGCATGCTCTTCACTAAATTTACTTTCACTGAGCACAACGGCTCCCTTTGCATTGAGCAGCAGCCTTTTCCAGAGAGCAGCAGCATCATCAATTTGGGACTCAGAAGTCATCACATGTTTTCTGTGAGCGTTTGTCAAACCTCTGTGGTCCACAACATGCAAAGTCCCACACAAAAGCCAGAGCACAACCAGGCCAAACAGGGATATTTTGCTCAGTATCTTACCAATAAGGGAACTGGGAGCTGAGAAGGCCCTGAAAACCATGCAGAATTCCTTAAATCTTGACTTACAATAATTTTACAGGGAAAACGATAGATCTAGAAATACAGATATTAAAAAAAAATGAGAATGCTGGATGCAGGCAGCACTGTTTCATTTACTTGAAAAGCGTGATGAAGTTGGAGTCAACCTCTGGGTCTAACAGTACCTCTGAATGGGTTTACCCTTTCTGGAGTACTGCGTCCAGTTCTGGGGCCCCCAACATAAGAAAGGCATTGAGCTGTTGGAGCGGGTCCAGAGGAGGCCACGAAGATGATAAAAGGGCTGGAGCACCTCCCCTGTGAGGACCAGCTGAGAGAGTTGGGGTTGTTCAGCCTTGAGAAGAGAAGGCTCTGAGGGACCTTATTGTGGCCTTCCAGGAAAGTGAGGGAGGGATTTTTTACAAGGGCATGGAGCGACAGGATGAAGGGGAATGATTTTAAACTGGAAGAGGGGAGATTTAGACTGGATATTAGGAGTGAACTCTTCCCTGTGAGGTGGTGAGGCCCTGGCCCAGGTTGCCCAGAGAAGCTGTGGGTGCCCCCTCCCTGGCAGTGCCCAAGGCCAGGTTGGCCGGGGCTTGGAGCAGCCTGGGCTGGTGGAGGTGTCCCTGCCCACGGGGGTTGGACTGGGGGGGCTTTGAGGTCCATCCCAACCCAAACCATGCTGTGATTCTATGCTTGTGTCTTCCCACACCTATCCACACATTTGCTGCTGTCATGTTTCCACTCCCGATCCCATTTCCCTTTTGCCAACTCATTCTCTGCTTTTTTTCAGTATCTTTCTCAATCCTGGAGCTTCCCTTAATCCTATGATACTTTCTATTACCATCTCCAAAGCAGCAAGCAATAGATGCAGAAGACAAGCACAGTCCAATATGACATGAGATGAACCATCTGCACTACACCTCCACCTTCAGCCCTAAATACAGCACAACTGAGGAGCACCTGAAGTGTAGGACAGATCACAGAATCACAGCATGGTTGGGGTTGGAAGGGCCCTCTGGAGATCATCCAGTCCAACCCCCTGCTAGAGCAGGGTCACCTAGAGAAGGATGCTTGGTTTGCAACATTTTGTATTCAAAAAAGTGAAAAGGACATCATCATCTAATAATAATTTTAACAAGCCCTTACCTAAAGGAGGAATGTAAGAGAAAAAACATATTTCCAGATACTGTTAGCAATTGCTTTTTTTTATTTCACTTTCTAAAGAACAGTCCTCAACAGTAAGGCAGGGAAAAATCCTAAGACTGGTAATGCCATTAACAGTTAAACAATTAGCTGTTAGGAAAGTGTAGCTATTTCTGGAACACAGGCTGCAGCACTTTGCCTGCAGCTGAAGTAACAAGTATCAAGTGTGTTTGAAAGATGCTTTTTCCACATCTTTGATTAACATAATTCATGACCAAAGTTGAATGTTAATGTTTCTAGGATACTCAGCTTCATCCCCAGCTTTATTTTCTTGTCCTGACTTCCTACCTGCCATGCCAGACACACACGATTTTACCACTCAACAAGTCACAGATCTTGGTCACAGAACTGAAGTGCAAGATTAAGCAGACTTGGTGTTCTTTGGAAGTATGTAGCGAGTTTTTTCAAGGACAGTAGGGCAGAATATTACTTCTTTCCATCACAGCCGCTGCATATGAGCATAAGTAACTCCTTATAATTCAAGTCCATTAGCAGCAAACAACTATTCCTCATTAAAAATAACACAAATCAATGTCTGCACTTTGCCTCTGCAGTCTGAAGAAATGGACCTGAATGAAAAGGGAAATTTTGAGTCCTGTTCAAGACCCACTTAGCTAAAAGCTCTGTAGATTGCACCGAGAAACACTTCATTTTCCATACATTTCCGATACTTACATCAAATTCATTTAATGCGGCAGCAAGCTCTCCTATGCCAGTGTGGCCCTTGTTCTCATCAGTGGGCGAGGTGGCCTGGGCAGCGTTGGAGATCCCAGCGATCGCTTCTTGGACCTGCTTGAAGACGTAGTCTCGGTTGGCCCTGGTGGCTGCCACGTCGGGGTGACGGAGGAACGCTTGGGACGCGGTGTACAACATCGTGGCGTTCTTCTTCAGTGCACCTCGAGCTGCGGCCATCTCATCCCTGCAGTGAGGGTCTTTCAGTTCCTATACAAAAGCAGGCAATTTTTATAGTTGTGAATGAAAGTTTTCGTGTCTCTGCATAAATACCGTCCGGTGACTTTGCAGAGGTGCAATCAGTGACAGAATCTACCATAAATCACTGAAAGAAATCTCCCTCCTGCCCAAGAAGCTCCATTCCTTCTGCATGGCTACAGCTGCTACATCCTGCTCACAAGATTTTCTTATTAAAGTATCTGTATAATCTATTATTCAAAGAGCTGCAGAAAATGTATATAAAACATTCCAAATTACTCCGCCTGATGGACTGGATTGAGTCTGCTGATCCCATAAAGGCAATGCAAGTGCAGTAATCCTGTTGCAGCAAGTGCCATATTTTTGTAAGTACTATACCGATGTCCTTTATAAAATGATCATAAGGTAGATCTTTAAAAAAAATACATTCATAAATATGTTTTTAGTTCTTAAACACCTAAGTCTGTGTCTTTTATTACTGTTAGTCTTTCCTTCATATTTTATTCTATTCCTTATATCATTTAGCACTTGTTTTAATGACACATACTTTCCTTTGTTTCACCTGCCAAGCATCAGATACCGTACAAGATATTACCAGAGGAAGATGATGCTGTATTATTGTTATTTCACCCATCGATTTATTTAATTATAGGACATATCACTTTGTCCATGAAAGCCTTTCAAACATTAGGTAAGGTAGCAATATTCGAAAAGAATAATAAATCATTAGTAATTCTGTTTTCAAACTATGAACAAAGAAGCCTGGGGAGCTGCAGAGTTTTGTTATGATCACACATTGAATCTATGGCAAAAAATTAAAAAAACCCCAGATATTCTGGATTTAAAGGTCCTCCCATTGACTAATTTCAACTGCACATGACTGACAGATATCAGTTTTCAGAGAGAATTAAGTTCCTAAAAGTTTTATCAGGCTGCAAAACAGAAGAGATGAAAGGAAAACGTACAAACATCTAAGCAGTAAATTCTAATGCTGTCAAGATTTTCCAGTTATATGAGAAACATTACTGGCATTATAAAAGTGCATCTTAAGAAGAAAACTTTTAAAGGTCTCTAACTAAGATTTCCTGTTAGCTTTTCATATCTCCAACAAGCACTTAAGAGACATAAACCTTCATCAGCTTTCATATTTTTCTCTTTCTCCCCATATTTGTAGCTATGTTCCCATAACGGAAGTGTCTGACCATACAGAATAGCACTGTCCATACAGTGACTAGATTTTACACTTGTAATTTATTTAATTTCATTATAACTCTGAACATGTTCTAGTTCATTTTAAAAATGCAATAGTGATCCAGAAGTAAACTGTAATTACTGCAATGCAGAAAATAAAGAAATGGGAGGATAAATAAAGAAAGCTGGCTTTCTAAATCTGGAGTGCTGTGCTATACATGGACACGAATGATTGGTGGTATTCAAATATAATTGAATTTGAAGAGACTTTATACAGCTCCATGGTGATAGCAGTGTCTGGACTCCTACAAAGGAGAGTGTTCAGGAGAAAGTTTTCTTTCTTGCAAAGTTGTATAATTGCAGGCATTAAATAAATGTTATCGTGACTTTCTGGTCTTTTTTTCCATCTGCCTCTAATAAATGAATTGAATACTTGGGTTTTTAAAGTATGTAAAAATTAATAATGATGCTTTTAATCGCAAAGAAGATTTCTGTTCTTCTTGAATTTGAATTATCTCAGCCTACCCAAGAGCTCGTGCTTTAGCAGCTGTAAGAGTGACCTCAAATCAGCATAGGTTAGAATTAAATGGGAATAATCATCACATGAAAACTATCCTCAGCCTCCTGAATCACTTGCCTTTTCACCCTTCATTCTGTTACTAATTGAAGTCACTTGGAAAATATTCTTAACGAAATTGCCGTTTTGAAAAAATTCATCACATTCAAAAAAGAGTCAATGTGATTAAATTCTAGGCCATGACATAGCAATTACTACTGTACATCTTAAACCAGATTTGGACATAAAATACGAGCCCTTCAGAACCAAGACTACCTTTTTCAACCACCGATCCAAAATGCACTCACCTGTTGCCGTCTAGCAGCTACGTAGTTCAGTTTGACCATCTCTTTCCCAAATTCTTTGAAGCGATTCGCTAAATCTTGCTCATTTGTGGCATTTTTCACTGCTTCTAGTGCTTCCTCCACCTAGAACATAATATACCAATATATATAGTCCAGATGCACTCCAACAAACTCTATAACTATTCTACCCAATACTCTCTATTATATGGACCCAATTTAGCTTTTATTTCCATCGCTGTACAGTGGCTTTCTGATAATCCCACTAATTTTAATTAGGTTTTTTTAATAGAGAAGCCATCTGATTGTCCTGCATTATTTTCCATTTACTGTACTTTGGTATCATGTAAAATGAATGTAAAAGGCATAACTATATTAATTTCCCCATTTACACTTATCAGATGAAGTGCTTAATATCTGCAGGTATTAAAACAAAATAGATGAATTCCTTATTAATGTGTGGTACAGGCTTCATGGGAAAACAAAGGGAAGTCATTAATTCTGGATAAGAAATAACGTTTAAAAAGGAAACTCAAACTTACTATTATTAGCAATTAAATTTACTCCAATATAGCCAAAACAATGTATCTTTGTGAAGTAAATGAGACAAGTTTTCAGTTACTTTAAAAGTGAGAAAAGGATCTACCAAAGAAAACTGACTGCAGCTGAGGCTAACAGGTAAAGATCTAAAACCCCGGTTATCCCAACATGGTGAGGGCTCTGGAGAACAAGCCTTATGAGGAGCGGCTGAGGGAACTGGGCTTGTTTAGCCTGGAGAAGAGAAGGCTGAGGGGAGACCTCATCACCACCTACAACTGCCTCAAGGGAGCTTGTAGAGAGGTGGGTGCTGGTCTCTTCTCCCAGGTGATGGGGGACAGAACAAGGGGAAACGGCACCAAGCTGTGCCAAGGGAGGTTCAGGTCAGAGAGAAGGAGGAAGTTCTTTACTGAGAGGGTCGTCAGAAGCTGGAACAGGCTGCCCAGGGAGGTGGTGGGGTCCCCATCCCTGGATGTGTTTAAAGAGCGGGTAGCTGAGGTACTTAAGGATATGGTTTAGGGGGTAGACAGGAGTGGTTGGACATGATGATCTCAGAGGGCTTTTCCAACCAAGCGATTCTGTGATTCTGTGAACAAGTCCATCTGCCAAAGCTATCGTGAAACTTTACCTTCTGTACAGCAAGAAAAAAATACCTGAAAGGATAAAATGCTCCTTTCATACCTTAAGTGAAGGAAATGTTCCTGTGACTAGATGAGAATTCAAAGTTGTATTTCTCTCCCTCACGAGATGGAAATGTAATTTCAAGCAAAAAGACAGAACTGAAAAGCTTCAATTTATCTTCCTTTCTAAAATCCATTGCTTCAGTTCACAAAAGTGGGCAGAAGCTTGCAAAAACCAGATCATTTGTGCCTTCAAAGGGA